CAACACTTCTTCCCCCAGCAAGCCGAGAGTGCGTGATCGCTTCACACGATCTCATTGGTCGACATATTGAACTTTGCCCCCTTCACACGATCTCATTGGTCGACATATTTAACTTTGCCCCCTTCACGCGATCTCATTGATCGACATATTGAACTTTGCCCTCTTCACGCGATCTCATTGATCGACATATTGAACTTTGCCCCCTTCACGCGATCTCATTGATCGACATATTGAACTTTGCCCCCGGGCAAGGTCAACTCAACTTGGTTGTTCTGTTCATATTAATGATGCAGAAAGTGACCTCATGCTAGACTCGGTTCAGAGTCTGAATATAATTTTTGTTTAATCAGATTCGAGTCCCGTTTTCTATGACATTGTCCAAGATATTCACGTATGATCTACGAAAGATAACCAGTTTTCTCCGGACCAAAATGGAGGGTTGTCTAGGATAAATTCAGCTATATATTTTAAATCTTGTTCATTAACTCTTTATCTCCGAGGGGGGGTAAACCCACTACGCCGGGGCCCTTTTTTGGTGCTAAATCTAAAAATGACAAAATGACATCATTAAATGGGTCATTAAATCGAAACTAGCAAACCTTTAACTTATTTTGATAATTCTTCATCTAATGAATGAACTTCCGGTATAAGAGACCTGTTTACGGCAGTTGGCGAAAAGTGATTTGGTGTCGAAGTCGTCGTAAAAGAATGTGCCCGAGCTGCTGGGAGTGGCTTGCCGGAGATAAAGAGTTAAACACTTTTTGTCACTGGGGGAATAGAGAATTAAGTGATTGCAGAGACTGATTTTGACGATCCACGTTCCGAACACCCAAATTCCTCTTAGAAAAAAATGTTGATGTTTTCTGGCAAAGTTTGTGTACTGAGAAATTATCATTTCTATCATGAGTCCCAGAAGATGTGTCAGTATTTAATTTTCTTTTTGAGACTGTCACCTTTTACACTGTCAATTCATCTTTTTATCATTTCCTTTACCTTTAGGTAAATATTTATAGAAATGTGACGACAGTTGAATTACATTTAATTTTCTTTTTCTTTCTTTTTCACAGTTGTATCACCTCCCTACTCCATATACATGGGATTTGACAAGAATGAAAGTAAGTCGGAAAATGGTTCTGTTTGGACGCTCAATGGTTATTGTTTTGATATGCACAGTCCACATTAGTCAACTACCCTTTATCATTTCAAACAGCGGTTTTCATAAAGTTAATACAAAGTATTATTAAGGCCTGATTTTTATTCTTCTACTGAACAGCTTCAGAGTTTTTTTTTTTTTTTTTCTTTTGCGACTGTGGTGACACATTTCTGTTTAACCAGTCGAACTGAATTTCAATTTCAGAGGCACTTTTCTGATTGAAACACTGCAGTCTGTTACATTGATACCTTGATAGTTTTGTTTTTGGTCAGTTTTATTTTTGCTTTTATGCAAATGTTTTTGACCCCTTGCAGGCCTTGTATTCAAAATTCTCTTTTCTATAATTTTTTTTTCTCTTTTTTTTTGGGGGGGGGGGAACGGCTTTAGAGAATATAATTGAAGAGATTCACACTTATTTATGTTTCATGATGCGGTGGAATCAGGCTCCCCTCAATTTTTGGGCTGATAGAGTTATTGGTATCATCTTAAAGCTTGTTCTTTTGTCTTGTTGCTTTGAATGGGGAAAAAAATCCATTTATCTTGAATACAAGTCAAGGTATTTGCGAATGAAGGAGGTGGGGGTCACTTGGTTTCAGAGGTAAAATTCGTGAGAAAATGGCTGCCAAAAATTGGTTATTTTCTCAGCTTGAGAGTCCATGGAAACTAAAAACTTACATTTTTGTGCCTTTAATCAACGTTTTTCAGTAAAAATCCACATCGAAATTCATTATTTAAAGGGCATGAAAGGTGTTAGGCAAAAAAGAAAAATTTGAAAAAAATTACAAACCTGCTGAAAAATGCGTTTCTTTACTTTTGATTTTTTAACGAGCGTCTGTTTTCACCACGCTGCCTCACATATATTTGTCACGTTCAAATTTTTGTCTTTGGCTTGGTTGTTTGGCTTCTGTGCTGCTTTTGGGAAGCTGGCTTGAGAAAGTTCAGAATTTGAACTGAAGGGGTCCATATTCTTTTCTCATTTTTTGTAGGAAGATTGCTTTCAGTTTGGTGTCCTGATGGGAAGGGATTCTCTGTCTCCAAAATAAGTTATATTTTGTGTAGAAAACTGTGAAGAAAAAAAAATTGATGCAAATTAATTTATAGAGCTTCCTGGAGACCTCAATACTTAATACTTTATGAACAGGTAGCCTTTAGATTCATTCAGTTAATTCCATTTCTTGTTATTTGTTTATTTTATTTAATTAAATACCATAATGATTTATCATTTTTTTTCTTTTTCTTAATATTATAATTATATAAACATTTATTTATTTATCTATTTATTCATTTTTGTTTCATATAAATCCACAGATGAAGATTTGATACGATGGGGATGGCCCGAGGATGTATGGTTAGTTTTTATATTATAACATTTATCTGACAGTGTTGTATATAACAGTACTAGTCTATATTATATTGGCTTAGAGAACACTGTCTGGAGCAAAGTAAGTTTAACCCTCTTCTATTCATGAAGTAAATTTCTTTCATGATTCATGAAAATGTTTAGCAAGATGACAAGATGACATGCACATTATCAGAGAAAAATTCTCTTTGTTTTGTTTTTCTTACTTAAATTTCTAATAATTTTGTACTAGTTTCAATTTTTTCAAGTGGCTTTACCAAACTAAACTAAAGTCACTATGGCTTTGTCTTAATTTTTTAAAGTCGCTTTACCAAACTAAACTAAAGTCACTATGGCTTTGTCTCCTTTCAGGTTTCATGTGGATAAATTATCTTCAGCTCACGTGTACCTGCGGTTACATCCAGTGAGTGTTGTGTGCATGATCTTTAAGGGACGACAGAGGGGGTTGATGTGTGATAAGACTTCTCTACGTACATATTCATTTTGCTATTTTCTCAATTAGAATAAAGCTTTGTGAGAATTACAGTTAGTTGCAAATTGTGGCTTTAGTAAAAACGAATGAATTTAGGGGAGGAGTGAACCTTGATTTTGCCGATTTTGGGTCAGGCTATGTAAATTGAGATGTTGGCTGATTTTTGAAGATCAACCAGTTCTTTGTCTAAAAATAGCCAAAGTTTTTATTCTCCTCGTAGATAGTGAATTTTCACAATAATTGTCGTTTTTCTCAAAATGTCATATTTTTTCAGTTTTTTCCTTACTCCTTCCTTAGATTTCATCCTTTTGACATGAAACTTTCAGGACACATAGATGACAAGACTGCCATCAATGTAACAGAGAGATATTTGAGAAAAAAATAACACTTTTCCATTGGCAAGCGATTACGCAACCTAAATTTTATAAAGTTTTTTTCTACATTGGGAAAATTGTCATATTTTAAAATATTTTGCACTTATTGAAAAAAACTCGCTGTTACGCTGATAGGGTCTGGTTCAGTTATACCTTCACTATATTTGGTAGAATTTGGTCAGTAAATAAGAAAACCTGGGGGATTTGAAATTCATTGTTTATTTTTAAGATGGCGGCCGTTTCCATAGCAACCGCTGTAGCTATGCCAAAATAAAATTGCGTATCAAGAGATTTTCCTATGCATAACTTTTCGGGCAACAAACATAGAAAATGGTCCTCAGGGGTCGCTCCTCACGTAAATGTGTCATATGTGTTGGAAATTTTGCTGGAATTATTTAATTTTAGCTGTTCAAGGGTATTTGTTACTTACAGCTTTTTAAGTTGTGTGTATAAAATTTACAACTGAGTAACCTATTGATTGTCGCTATTGAATTGGAATGAAGATATTGTGAATGTTTTAACGGGTTGAAGGGTTCAGTTCAGATTGTACCAACATTATTTATTTCACTGTTGTACTCGTCTTGTCTATTTTGAACTCTTTGAAGAGCATAGAGGCCCACAACAATTCTGCTCCGCAGTTGTCTTCCCTGTACACATTTCTCCTGTTGCTTTCAATTTGTTTGTCTAGTGAGGCTCAGCACAACGACAGTGTTCATGAATTGAGATGTGCTCATTGTACACTTTTCTTTTTTTAACAAAAACCCTCCAAACAAACTCAGTGCATTTTTGTGTGATTGTTTTGTGTTGATGAAGTATGTGTACGTCAAAATTTGTTATTCAACCCCCTGGGGTCGTGCTGACTGAAGTGTCTTTAGGCCATTCCCAAAGAGGGGGACATTGACATCTCGAGTTCTTATGCACAGTAGAATTGTAATTGTAAATGGGCCGATTCATCAATGTCATGCTCCTAACTGTGCCTGAACTGTAGCAGGGAACTGCTGCTTTTTCTTTCCTCATCCTTACTATCAGCATTTTCCTCTACTTCTTTTGTTTGTTTGTCACACTCTTGTGACCCGTTATTTCCGAGATGCCTTGATAGTTGAAGCAGACTTTGTGCTGGTGAAGCTAGAGAGGTGAGCAGAGTAAGTCTGATTCCTTGTAAGGACTTCTCTGTTGACGTCCACCCCTTGGCGCTCATATGACCTTATGCAGTTGCGAGTGCCGTAATACCTTACTAAAATTTAAAACGAACAAAAATTTCTTATTCCTTGTGTTTCATGCAATCTAGGGCGAGATGATCGATGACATTCCTCAAGCTGTTATTGATGACTGTGCTCAGCTGGTCAAGGCAAATAGTATTCAAGGTATGGCGCACACATTTCTCAAAATCTGGCACTTAAAAAATTAATATGGTAGAACATCCTATGATTTAAATAAACAGGCAAGTCCATATGAACATTCGTGCTGGCTATTTATCACAGATGAACTGAGATCTCATTCTTCAGTCTTACTCTGTATGTTTTACCATATTTTTGTCTTAATCTTTGTAAACTCACAGAAGTAGGGAAATGTAAAACATTGGAAAGAAAAGAGAATGTTGTCTCATCCTGTCTCATCCTGTCTCATCCTGTCTCATCCTGTCTGACAAATGTTTGGAGTACAAGTTGAAATGAAGGTGGATAGGAGTTGGTCTTATATATGCATAATCTCCATCCTGTAGAATGAAGAGCTAATGTGATTTTAAACAGTTTCCAAAGCTAATACAGATTTAATTAGTCGTATTTATTGTTCCACGCTTTTTCTGTTCTTTTCTTTTTAAGGAAACAAACAAAATAATGTAGATGTCGTTTACACCATGTGGGCTAATCTGAAGAAGACAGCAAGTATGGATGTTGGACAAGTTGGGTTCCACAAAGACAAAGAGGTGAGACGTTGACAGTGTTTTCCCTCTTATTCCAGTGACTGAATGTGTTTTGATTGTTTGCTGTGCTTATCCAGAATTTAGCTGTATTACCTGTCCTGGGCAACAACGTCATTGCACACCGGACAGGTCCAGAAGTGCTTAGTTCCCCCAAGCACCAAAGCCCGCAAGGTATCCATATTATCCAGAATCTAAACTGGTAAAAGGCTTCTATTTTACCATTTTAGTGCTTGGAGAGTTTTGGAACACCTTTAGTGTCTGTGAATGGCCCTTGAAAAGAACCATCTTATTTTCTTGCTAAATTAACTGGTAACCTACAGGTACTTTTATGGTTGATCTGTCAAGAAGACATATATTTGTATACGTTGATAAGGGAATTACTGTGGTTTTTAACGGATGCCTCTTTTTGCGACTTATACTTTATAATTTATTTGCTGTGTTTGTCTATATATATTGAATTTGCTTCTTTTAGGTGAAGAAAGTTGGAGTGGAAAAAAGGATCAATGAAATCGTCAATCGCTTGAACAAGACAAAAACGGAAGACAAACCAGACTTCCGGGCTTTGAGGGAAGAGCGGGACAGGAAAGAAAGAGAAAGTCAAAAGAAGGTACAACAGGAGCAGAAGCAGCGGGAAAAGGAAGAAGAGAAACGGAAACAAGAACAAGCAGAACTTAGGTGAGCTAGACTTGTGTGTTTATAAGAAAATGTTAAAAGCATTTTGCAGTCCAGTATGACTTGTGGGTGGTTGGCGGGTGATCTGGTGTGGTTTGCTTCTTCTTTCCTATCAAACATGTATCGTCCTTATCTCTCCTCCTTCTTTTGTTGTGTTTGTTACTCTCTTGTAACCCCGTGGCGGTGATACTGACTGAAGTGTCTCGAGGCCATTCTCAAAGGGGGGATATTAATATGTTCTTCTGCTCAGTAAAATTGTATGTGGGCTGATTCATCAATATCATGCTCATAACTGTGCCTGAACTGCAACAGGGAACTGCTGCTTTTTCTTTCCTAATCCTTACTATTGTCATTTTTCCTCTACTTCTTTTGTATGTTTGTCACTCTCTTGTGACCCACTATTTCCGGGGAGCCTTGTTAGTCGAAGCAGACTTTGTGCTGTTGAAGCTAGAGAGGTGGAGTATGCCTGATACCCTGTATGGACTTCTCTGTTGACATCCACCCCTTGGCGCTCATATGACTTTATGTGGTTGCGAGCGCCGTAAAAGTTCCATTTAAACTAAAAAACAATATGGCGTCAAATTTCCTGGAAGATGGGGCTCCCATATTCTGTTGGTTCGTACCCATGTTTAGGCTGCAGGTATGTAATGAGTTGTTGAACCAAGTTTGATCTTATGTGATGTGCGTGTAATATTTTACGTGCTTTGTTTTTTTCTAAATCAGTATGAGTAAAACCGTGTCCCCATTTTGTGTATATATATGGCTATGTGATGTGACGTAAGTTGTGTTGAAGGGGCCATAATGTCCTGCCTCAAACTCAAACGTAGAATGAAATCTCACAGTGCACTCAAAGGTAGAATGAAATCACACAATGCACTCAAAGGTAGAATGAAATCTCACAGTGCACTCAAAGGTAGAATGAAATCTCACAGTGCACTCAAAGGTAGAATGAAATCTCACAGTGCACTCAAAGGTAGAATGAAATCTCACAGTGCACTCAAAGGTAGAATGAAATCTCACAGTGCACTCAAAGGTAGAATGAAATCTCACAGTGCACTCAAAGGTAGAATGAAATCTCACAGTGCACTCAAAGGTAGAATGAAATCTCACAGTGCACTCAAAGGTAGAATGAAATCTCACAGTGCACTCAAAGGTAGAATGAAATCTCACAGTGCACTCAAAGGTAGAATGAAATCTCACAGTGCACTCAAAGGTAGAATGAAATCTCACAGTGCACTCAAAGGTAGAATGAAATCTCACAGTGCACTCAAAGGTAGAATGAAATCTCACAGTGCACTCAAAGGTAGAATGAAATCTCACAGTGCACTCAAAGGTAGAATGAAATCTCACAGTGCACTCAAAGGTAGAATGAAATCTCACAGTGCACTCAAAGGTAGAATGAAATCTCACAGTGCAAAGTAAAAGTCCCCAGAGAACGGTTCTGAAAAAAATATTTGAATTGTAGGTGTTCACACACACCACACACCACACACGCACACACACACACACACACACACACACACACACACACACACACTACACACACACACACACACACACACACACACACACACACACACACACACACACACTACACACACACACACACACACACACACACACTACACACACACACACACACACACACACCACACACGCACGCACACTTTAATTGAGATCATTTAGGAGGCGGACTCATAACTTTGCCTGTCAGGGCCTACTTGAGGTGAGAGGGATATAACATTCCAGCAGAAAGATGGAGATATCTGTTAAAAAAATTTCTCTCCACTCAGGAATCGAACTCGGGTCTCTTGTATGCGACAGTAAAGTCTCTACCCGCTACACCACAGACATTGCTGGATAGTTTCTATACATGATATTAAATGGAATGCCTTGCAGAGATTGATAAATAGACTAATGTAAGGATATCGTTACAACATGAAAAACCATGAAGCTAGCATAGAGGACAAAAAAAAGCAGAAATCTTTCAGTAAATATGTTTTGATGCTTTTCTTTCTTTCATATTTTGCAAAGGAATTCCATGAGTACGTTCTTTTTGGGGTTTTTTCAGATTGTTTGTATAAATTCTTTTAAACAATGTATAATTTTTGTTTGTTTGATTTATCTTGCAGGTCCTATAATAATCTAATGCGGTCAGAAAATATGTCGTCGAATAAGGTATGTACCGTATTTGGACAATACTTTTATCAGATTTGCCTCTAATAGTTGTAAAGCGCATAGAGAATGCTCTTGAGCATAGATATGCGCTATGTAAATGCAATTATTATTATTATTATTATTTTATAAATGGGTTTTCTTCACCTATATGTAGCCCAGCTGTCTTGTAAAAATGATACTGGCAAACATGTTTCAAGAAAAAAATGTTACCGCATTCTTTGTTCATTGTCTTTAAATCTAGAAATATGGAAAATGAAAGGAGTTTGGCATCCCTTTATTTGGAGGTATTGATTCATTTAAACCAGATGGGCGTGAGTGTTTGTGTGAGCGTGACTTCCTTTTCCCCTCTGTACTTCAGTGTTTATGGAGCAGTTGGTGGAAACAAGGCTCCTGTCTGTTCTGTGGGTGAGGGCTCCAAGAGTTGAAAGTTATAGCTTAGGTCTGGGCTGAAAGAGTGAAAAGTTATAGCTTAGGTCTGGGCTGAAAGAGTTGAAAGTTATAGCTTAGGTCTGAGCTCAAAGAGTTGAAATCTATAGTTTAGGTCAAGGGCTAAAAAGTTCAAAGTCATAGCTTAAGTCAGGGGCAATTTTTTTTCAGTAGGCTGGATATTGGAGAGATGCCGTGTCCGGGTTGGGGAACTGTTTTGTTCCTTTCAATACTTTGAATACATAAAAAATAAAGACAATCCGCTTGTTGATTTATACTACAAAAAATACAAAATACACTAAAAGAAATAAAGACAATAAGCTAGCAGTTATAAAAGCACATTCAATTTGCACATTTAAGTTCAGTGAAATGATTGAAATATTTTGGTGATAAGTTCTGAGCAGGTTACAAACACACCTTTCCATTGGCAGGCCCAAAGAACTGACCTGGCAGGCTAGATCTGGTGTAAGGGTCGTAGTTTGGTGACCCCTGGCTTAGGGTTATAGTTAAAGTTCAAAAGTCTTTTGTTTTGTCTTCATTGAAGGCTGTCACAACTTGATAACTTTTTGGAATGATTTTGATCTATTTTCGTCTGTTTGTTGCAGGACAATCTTGGAGCTGATGACGATGACTTTATGTAAATTGAAGATAGCTGCCCTGGGAGTGACATGTGAACCTGTTTTCCTCGATCTCGAAGAAGGATGGCTGAGATAGACGACCATAGAGCTTCCTGCTACTGCATCAACTGACCTTTCTGTTTTTCAGACCTATAGCAGAAAAGTGCAATTTTACGCTCAGTTTATATATATATTGAAAGAAAACTGTGCAAAGTTTGTGTGTCAACTGCAGCTCAGTATTTTGTGCACAATTAACAGCTTAGATATATCAAATAACATTTCTCTTGTTGTGAAGGGGTGGAGAAGAGGGGAGTGGGGGGGGGGGTGTTTAGGTTTTGAAAGTTTTCCAGTGTCCATATGCTTTTGTGTTGTCAAAATTGTATTTAGTTTCTTAAAAACCTCTTTGGTTATGTTTAAATTTGTGATAATTTTGTTTTTCCAACATTCGTAACAGGTTCCTTTACACACGGATACGGGAACTTGAATGTGCTGTAGTAATGTATTATAATTTTGTTCCTTTCGACTTTAATTTTATCATGATGCATCCAGTGCACGCTTGAGCATACTCTACCGTCCGTTACCCTTCTGCTCACCAAACGTAGATCTTGGCAAGCAGTGGTGCAAATCTAGCGGTCTCCTCAAGAGAGTTCAGAGGCGCTGGTCCTGTCACAGGTCCTACAAAGCTCAAGGGGATAGGGCACAAAGCACAAAGAGTTAAAAATCATGTTTCGGTGGATATTCTTTTGAAAGAGGTAGAAGTACGGCCGAAAGGAGAGTGATATCCGAGAGAAGTTGTTGAGAGGGGAGAAAAACAAAAATGTGAGTTGTCGGACAGTTACAGGGTCACTTCCATACTATCATCATTCTTACAGTGCCAGGGATTATGGGTAAATTATGAAAGTGAGCATTGTAAGCAAAATGTGCGTTGAATCTTATTACGTATGTGGGCATGATTTCATGAAGTGCATTATGTGAATAAAATGTACATGATTTGTTTGAGTCTGTTGTTTGTTGCTTCTTTTCCTTCTTTGTGAACATTATTGTGGGTGGTTGGATGGTGCTCTGGTGTGGTTTGCTCCTTCTTTCCTATCAAACATGTATTTCATTATCTCTCCTTAGTGGGTGGTTGGCCTATCAAAAGATATCGTCCTTCTCTCTCCTCTTTTTTTGTGTTTGTTACTATCTTGTAACACCTCTATTCTTTGGCACTTGTATGACCTTATACAGTGGGTGTCGCATTCAACGAGGTCGCATTCTACGAGAAGTCGACTCCAACGAGGCAATCCTTAATCCCCGATTTTTTCCGCAATATCTCTTTGTAAATATACGTCAGCTCCAACGAGGTTGCAAACAGACCGAGGTCGCGATAACCAAATGAAAGCAATTAGCGGGCCCAAAAGCGAATAATTTTTCTCCTTTCTCTCCATCTCATGCAAAACACAAGGCCCATCCTCGATTCCTAACGCATTGTATTGCTAGATATAGTGTGCCTCCTAACATGAGCCCCAAAGCCAAGAGGATGGGCGAGGGTTAGCCTACGGTAGGGATGGGAGGGGGTGGGTGGGAACGCGATCGGACTGTGTGAAACTGGATGAACCCTGGATGGGTAGGTCTAGATGGAGACCTTCATTTTTTTTCAATTTTCTTTTCTCCCCTAGATCAGAAAACCCAAGCTCCCGCCTTCACTGTATGTAGATCTAGGCCTAGGTGTGAGAGAGTATTTGGGTATGTTACCCCACTACAAGTGTTGCGGAAAAACAAATTTTAAAAAGCAGAAATGACGGTCAGAACACAGGTCAAACACGCGCGCACTGATGCTGCTTGAGATTTTCGTTGTAATTCCTGGTATTGGTACATCGTGTAATATAATAACTTGTCTCCTTTTTTTTCTTTAGCCTCAGTCACGTTCAACGAGAGGTCGGATCCAACGAGGACACCAAGCCGGTCCCAGCAACCTCGTTGAATGCAACACCCACTGTATTATGTTGCAAGTGCCGTAAAACTCACTAAAACTATCGTTCCTCCTTTTTTGTGTTTGTTGCTCACTTGTAACACACCGAATATTCGGCACTTACTAAATGACCTTATTGTGTTACAAGTGCCATAAAACTCTTACGAAAACGAACAATATTGAATTAGTCAATTAATGAACATTATTGAATTAGAATCTAGTAGATTTCATTTCCACTTGAGCTTCTTTTTAGCATTGCTGGGGCAGGAAAAAGTTGTAGCTTGCAAGATTTTATTCCTTTTGTCAAAGGGGATAAGAAACCTGTGTCTGTGGTGTAGTGGTTGGTATTTTGCTATTGCATGCAGAAAAACTGGGTTCGATTCCTGTGTGGGAAGACTTTAATCAAGTATCTCTATATTTCTGCTGAGATGTTATATCTATCCCTGGCTGGGTTGGCCCTGACGGAAAGTGTGGAAGTCCGCCTCCCAAAGGACCTAAATTGTGTCCGGGGGGGTGTGTGTGTGTGTGTGTGTGTGGGGGGGGGGGGGGGGGGGGTGATTAAAAGAAATGTGAACTAACTGCTGAGTTTCTGAAAACGTTCTTTGTTCTTTTTATTGCTTTTCTCGACTGCGTAAAGCTGACTTGACTTGCAACTGAGAGGTCAAAATATAATTTCTGGGAAGTGTGTGTGTGTGTTGGTAAGATCGAGCACCAAGTCTCTCAGATAAGGATGGTGGGTGGTTGGCAGGTGGTCTGGTGTGGTTTGCTTCTTCTTTCCTATCATCTTCCCTTTTTCATGTTTCATGTTTGTTACTCTCTTGTAACACCTCTAATCTTTTGGCGCTTATATGACCTTATGCAGTTGCGAGCGCCGTAAAACCTCTACTAAAAAAAAAAGACAAGGATGAAAAATTTGGAGGTCTTGTGCTGAAGTTCTGCACATTAAACGCATTCATTAAAGATCCCTTGGTGGTGATAGAATTTAAAAAAAAAAGAGTAGGCCTTCCTCTGGGCAAATTTCAAAATTATTTCTTGCCCAAAACTGAAGCCACTATAGTCAGTATAAATATTATAATAAAAGTACCTTTAAAAAGGCAAGTAAGCAATACACAGTTGAAATCAATATGTAAAATTAAATGGTGTAAAATCCGACCTAATATTCACGAACACCGGTGTGCCCCAAGGCTGTGTAATCTCCCCTGTCTTGTTCACGCTCTACACCAACGACTGTACTTTTGATAACAAAAACATCAAACTAATAAAATGTGCGGATGATTCCACTCTACAAGGCCTTATAACAACAAATGAGAATGAATACAGGGACGCTGTGAATCTATTTACAAATTGGTGTGATAACCACTTCCTTTTATTAAATGTAAAAAAGACAAAGGAATTAATAATAGACTTTAGAGTAAAAAAAGACCAATTGCAACCACTATTTATTAAAGATGAAGAGGTGGAGGTGGTGAGCTCTTACAAGTATCTTGGTGTAACAATCGACCACAAACTTGACTGGCAAACCCACGCTGCTCTTGTGCATAAAAAAGTAAATCAAAGAATGTTTCTTTTAAGGAAATTAAGAAGTTTCCGTGTTGACAATAAGATTATGTCCCTTTTTTTACCATTCTATGATTGAAAATGTGCTGTTATTTCGTATTTGCTGCTGGGGTGGGAATTGTAAGGTGAGAGATAAAGCAAAATTTGACAGAACCATTAGGAAAGCCAGCAAGATCTCTGGATATGATTTTAATAGAATGGATGAAATGTATAGCACCACACGTATAATAAGCATTATAAACGACCCATCACACCCCTTTTCCACGCAAATTGTAAGATCACGCAGCGGCAGATATGTACCTCCAAAAACAAAGAAAGAAAGATATAATAAGTTTTTTACCATCTAGCATAAGGCTTTTGTCAGAATGAGCATAGATGTGTGTTGCTCTTAGAGTATGTATCTGTATATAACTCCTAAGGTCTAGTATTTAAATTCCTACATGTGGTTGAATGATACATTTGATGTAAATGTACATTTTGTCAGCTTTACTTCTCTTTTCATATTGAATTTAAATGAGAGTAATATATATAATTTACATTTTTTACGTATACCTGCATGTGTTTTTACGGTCCTGTACAGCCAAGGAAAATTTCCCTCTGAGATAATAAAGCATATCTTATCTTATCTTAAACCAAGAGATAGAGCGGGAAAACAGTGGAGTCTTCACAAAATAATTGAGTAGCTAGGAATTCTGGCAGAGTGAGGTTGTTTTTGTTTGTTTGTTTTAGTATAGGGTTTTACGGCGCTCGCAACTGCATAAGGTCATATGAGCGCGCGGGACACACCTAATACTTTTCCGTTGGTAGGAAATTTTGAATTTTGCCCGGGTGGCGGCCGAAGCCTACTCTTATCGATTTTAGACCACCAAGGGATCTTTAACGTGCGCAACTTGCACAACGGCCCTCCGAGATTTTTCGCCCTTGTCCGAGAAGGCTAGGTGTAGATCTTTCCTACCAGAAGATCAGGGGTGTGGCAGAAAGACAGCAGTTAGGAGGAGCCAAGGAGTAGCAGTAGAAAGGCTGCAGAAAGAGTCAGGAGCCCAGAGGAGGGGGCAAAGGAGGTGAGGGGGTGGGGGCAGAAAGTGGAAATGAAAGCAGACAACAGAACATTGTTAGAGATCAGGAAAGGATGTGAAAGGAGACAATTTTAGAGAAGAAAATTTTTTGGTCGCTACCCGGAATCGAACCCGGGACCTTTGAATGAGAGGCCAACACCTTAACCTCAAGGCCACGAGAGCCCCCAGAGTGAGGTTGTGCAGCGTTGAGCACATCGTTCTCTGATGAGGCCATAAGCTTTACTAATACACCAGCACATCGTTCTCTGATGAGGTCATAAGCTTTACTAATACACCAGCACATCGTTCTCTGATGAGGCCATAAGCTTTACTAATACACCAGCACATCGTTCTCTGATGAGGTCATAAGCTTTACTAATACACCAGCACACTGTTCTCTGATGAGGTCATAAGCTTTACTAATACACCAGCACACTGTTAGATTCTCTGATGAGGTCATAAGCTTTACTAATACACCAGCACACTGTTAGATTCTCTGATGAGGTCATAAGCTTTACTAATACACCAGCACACTGTTAGATTCTCTGATGAGGTCATAAGCTTTACTAATACACCAGCACGTACCAAACCTGCACAACATTGTCGTTTCATTTGCAAACACAAATCAAAAGAAAACTATGCAGTAAAAATTGAGCAAGACATTTTATTCATTACTTGACATTGAAAATAAAAGTAAGCACAAGAGAAACTGTGTTATGACATGTGTTTTAAGTCAATTATCACTCGTGGCTTTTGCAGAAAATTACTACAGTGTGGTACAAGGCAAATCTTGTGAGTGTATCTCATAGAGTTACCCAGTACATCTATGCTGTATCTAGTCTCCATTCTAAGAAGTGACATGTACCGGTACATGATGGTTTGAGACTTCCTTCAACAAACACTTAAACAACATAATATGTTTGCATATAACTAGATTATTTATTATTACCTCTTGAGAATCTATCGTCAAATATTTCTTTACTATTATATTATTAATACTGTGTCATTTCAAGGGGGAATTTTAAAAAAAAGCTTGTATAGAAAAATTAGCTGGAAACAACAGAAAAGTAATTTAAGGCCTTATTATTCTGTCCCGTCGTTTTATGCAAGAAAAATTCTGAAATTATGCAAACCGAGCCCAAAAATGTGAAATTATGTGATTCTGTTAATTTTAACAAAGAATGATAAAGGAAAATAATCAGAAATTATGCAAAAAATGATCAAATTTTGCTAAATTATGCGGGGTGCATAAAACTACGGGGACAGATTATTATTTTATCACACGAGCGAAGTAAAGTTGCATTTCTCCCCAGTTGTAATAATTGGCCCTGTCTCCCCATCCCTATCTACAAACTGTGATCATTATAATGTATCTTTCATGTAATCTGAGTGGGTGCCAGCATTGGATGTCAACCCTACAGAAAGCGAGCATACTT